CATAGGTCCTGAAACCTGCGGCAAGCTGAGACTCTTCCTGGCAATGGAAAGGAGGATCTTCCTTTCTGCTTCTCTTGTGCTCTCGTCAACCAGCAAAAATAAAATAAAATAAAATAGGCCGCACACCAGGATGAGTATCTATTGGACTCTCAAAGGAGAGATCCTCCTTGCATGGGTGTAAAATGGCTCGGAGGCGGCCCAGAATTGCATTCCCAATTGAATATCCAATGGCAACAGGGGCTTTCTACGCCTCGCTAAAAGAACGCTTTCCTGGACCTGTCTCGCGCCATGCGATGGGAAAAGGGACACGGACTCTTTCAGATCCCGTCCCACACGAAAACCGACTGACACAAGTGGACCAAAACCGCAGTCCCCAGTCCCCCAAACCTGTCCAGCCGCACCTCTCGGCCCGACTCGGCCGCTCCAACTCCGCCTCTGCCGTGCCTGCTAAAAAAAAGGCGCCCCAAGAAAGTCAGAGACACACTCTGTAGTATCAATCTGGCAATCGAAGCGAAGCCTTCAAAACTCATCCTCTGAACAGGTCTGACTCTGTGAAAGTTGGACTCGGGCAATCCAATCGGAACGCCTTCAAAACGCATCCTCTGAGCAGATCTCTTAGGCCACTTGGCCAGGAACCCACACGACCCAGTGGCCTCCAGTGGACATTGAAACTTTGCAAACCTACGCTTCGCGCTACATGGCTAAGGGCCATGTCGAGCCAACAAACGGCCGCGGGGCATGGCTTTACAGGACCGCAATCGAGCGGCCAAGAAGGGCCCGCAACGTGGCCAGTGGAGGCTCTAACATACGATGCACGGCAGACAAAACATGATATGCATCACGTTACAGGGGATGGAAGGACAATCTACACCGCCAGTTTCTGTAAGATTCAAGAAACGTAAAGGTGTATCCCCCCTTGTCCTAATTTCAATGTTGACGAAAGAGCGGGAAGGTGGCGCAGGAGTTCCGTGAATGGGACATAATGGGACCAGTGTTTACAATGCCTACGACCCAAAATCGTACAGATTGCCTCCATCGACAGTAGCCCTGCAGTTCAAAGACTCGTGAGGGCCTCCATGATGGTGAATGCAGCTGCTCCAGCTCCATCTTTGCACAAAGATGCGCTAACTGGCTTACGTTCAGTTCCAAAATGCAGAGCATGGTCAAACTCGGTTCCAATCAATGTAGGCTGATTGCGCTTGAATTCAAAGACCCAAATACAATTTGTGTACTGGGCTGTCTGAGCAACATGACGACAACTGCCCTCGAAGACAGAGTAAGTGCGGCAAGAGCTCCCTACATTCTGAAGACTGCTCGGTAGTGGCGACGAGAGGTTCTCATCACCAAACGGATAACCATCAAACTACGACCACGCAATCATCCATGAACATCTAAAAATCATGAACTCTCAAGGGCAAAGACACTGAGACATTCAAGGTCAAAGCAACTCCAAGCGACCTTGGCAAGCAACACCTGCTCAACTTGGCCTTGTGTGTTGATCCACCCCGCCGGAGCCTCCAAAGGTCCTTGCCTTGGCTTCACTCTCGGGCTCAACTTTGCTTGCATGCGTGGGGTTGTCACCCTATTGTCTATGTCTGAAGCCCCTCACATGGAGGCATAAAGCGCAAACTAACAACTGGGTTAGAGAATGAAACCGAAAACGCAGGACCTCTGCTTCCCGTGCAATCTTGGACTGCCCCTTCGCGAACAATTCTTGCAATGATGCCCTTCGCAACCAGTTCAATTATCTCTTTCCCCTGGCACATGTGCCCCGAGCGACCCGACCGGCAAAAAGGACAGGCCTCTGCCGAGCCACTTGGAGATCTCCCTGGCGCAAAAGTGCTCCTCGTCTTTGCACTTCCTGTACCTTCAAGAAGAAAATGCTGGGACATGCATCTATCCTGCAACCGCATGGGTGATCTTGTTTGAAGATATGGCCTCCGAGAAGAAATCAATCACGTTCAAAGCCCCAAATATTCGGCTCGGCATGCGCCAAGTTGATGGGCTCGCATATACGCAGGCGTACACACACACACACAACGCATGGCATGTGAGTCGGACTGGAAACTCATCACGGCAATGACACAAAAGCACGCAATGCACATGCCAATGCGGCCAAGTGGCTGCCGCATGTACAACTCAGAAAACCTTGTGCACCTCCTTGGCGGCTGTATCCCTGCACAATACATCAGCCAAACTTCTTCAGCCTTCTGATAGCGGATGGGTTTCTCGAAAATATGCTCACCAGGCCCTGGATACTGTCAGACTCCGAATCGCCTTTGTTATCCGTTTTGTCTCCACGTAACAGTACCTCCATCCCTGCACAGACCATCCAATGATTCGCCAGGATGAGGCTGACACTGGCCTCTTTGCTCGGTGATGCAAACTTCAACCATCTTCACCTCACCAGCTTCGATACCAGGAATGCAGAAAGTTCACAGGCGTACAAACACACATGCCGCATAGCATGAGGCCGGATCAGAAACTCATTGCTCTGATACAAAGGATCGTAAACCACATGCCAACGCTGCCAGGCGGCTAATACATGCACATTTTGCAGAAACTTCTGGATTCCCTCGCCACTGAAGCTGCATCCCCGCAAATGCATCAGCCAAGCTTCTTCAACCTTCTTGTGCCCGCTGATCTTCTTGAACATGGGCTCACCGGCCCATAGCATGTCGTAAACGCTCTTGACACATACCTCTTTGCACCGTTGCAGTCAAGTGTGGTCGTTTCATTGCGGGCGATGGCCTCCGAATGCAGCCGGATCTTCAGTCGACTGCTGTACTTGCATACTGCCAGACTCCGAAACTCCTTTGCTATCCCGTTTTGTCTCCAGTCCCTCCATCCCTGTACAGACCATCCAATGATTCGCCAGGATGAGGCTGACACTGGCCTCTTTGCTCGGTGATGCAAATTTCAACCATCTTCACCTCATCAGCTTCGATACCAGGAATGCAGAAAACTCACAGGCATACAAACACACATGCCGCATAGCATGAGGCCGGATCAGAAACTCATTGCACTGATACACAGGATCGTAAACCACATGCCAACGCTGCCAGGCGGCTAATACATGCACATTTTGCAGAAACTTCTGGATTCCCTCGCCACTGAAGCTGCATCCCCGCAAATGCATCAGCCAAGCTTCTTCAACCTTCTTGTGCCCGCTGATCTTCTTGAACATGGGCTCACCGGCCCATAGCATGTCGTAAACGCTCTTGACACATACCTCTTTGCACCGTTGCAGTCAGGTGTGGTCGTTTCATTGCGGGCGATGGCCTCCGAATGCAGCCGGATCTTCAGTCGACTGCTGTACTTGCATACTGCCAGACTCCGAAACTCCTTTGCTATCCCGTTTTGTCTCCAGTCCCTCCATCCCTGTGCAGACCATCCAATGATTCGCCAGGATGAGGCTGACACTGGCCTCTTTGCTCGGTGATGCAAATTTCAACCATCTTCACCTCATCAGCTTCGATACCAGGAATGCAGAAAACTCACAGGCATACAAACACACATGCCGCATAGCATGAGGCCGGATCAGAAACTCATTGCACTGATACAAAGGATCATAAACCACATGCCAACGCTGCCAGGCGGCTAATACATGCACATTTTGCAGAAACTTCTGGATTCCCTCGCCACTGAAGCTGCATCCCCGCAAATGCATCAGCCAAGCTTCTTCAACCTTCTTGTGCCAGCTGATCTTCTTGAACATGGGCTCACCGGCCCGTAGCATGTCGTAAACGCTCTTGACACACACCCCTTTGCACCGTTGCAGTCAGGTGTGGTCGCTTCATTGCGCTTTTGTCTCCACGTGGGAGCCCTTGTCCCTTGCAGCACAAACCGTCCCATGATGCACTGGGGTGATTCCAATAAAAAGGTTGATACTGGCTTTTCCGGTCATCCAAATCTCAACCATCTTCGGCTCAGGTTGACAGAAGGCAGAAGCGTGCGCTGGAGACATCCAACTCTTGGCTGTGGGCCCTTCTTTGCAGCAGCAGCATGTTTGATTTTCGCAAAATATGCCCTCCGCGAAGTCGAACAGTTCATGGTGGTGATTCACTCGAGTGACTCCCTGCAGCATGTAGACAGCCGGCACCTCTTTCCTTTTCATGCACAGCTGACGTGTTCAACAGGACTGCGCCCCTAGGGATGCACCGCGTGGGCCATCTCCAAAGTCGCCTCTGTCGTGGATGCCTTGCGCCTGACTGGCTAGGTTCTTGGCCCATCCTTCGATTGCGCGCCTCACAGATCTCGGCAGAGAATAACATGCTTGCAATATCCTATGTTTCAAGCAGACCGCCGAAAGATGTGGCCCATCTCGGCGAAGCAACAGGCTGCGAACCAAGCTCGAGGGCTTGAGTGCTCCGCACTCCCCTCAAACAACTTCTTCACACAGATGTTGCCAAGTCAAAATGGCATGTTACCAAGGTATCTCATGGCAATGGCTCGTCTAAACACAAGAAGTAGGGTCAAGGGAAAGGCAATCAGATGTGCCAGCTGCCAGGCCTGCCTTGGGCACCATCTTGGGACTGTGACTGGTTTCAGCTTGGCCGTTGAAGGCAATTTCAGAAGACAAACGCTTCAAGCCTTGGAAAGCATGTGCTTTGATGGCATCCGTGGCTAAAATGCTTTAACACGACTGATAGGCATTTAGGATGAGATCCCTTGAAACGTGAATATCCGAACTGAGACCCAACATGTGATGTTCGATGCGTCACAGGCCACCGGCTGCAAAACAGGCGCCCGGATCGCTCGCTGTTTGGTTATGTTTGAATGTGGAAAGATTCTGGTGTCTGACGGTTGTTGCTTCCAGCAAAACGCCGGGCATGTGCATGCCTGCAGGTGCGTAGGTATATGAACATATACACATGTGTATGTATTGTATATAAATGTGTATACACATACACATATGTACATGCACACATGACCCGCCGTGCTGATGCGAGGACCTGAGAAAGAGAATCTTCCTGATTCAATGGCCTTCAAGCCAAGTCCATATGAACGTGTGCATTGTTTTCCTCTTTGCATTATGATACAAGCTTGAAGCGCTTTGCCACCATCACGCCGGTAGCATAGCCAGAATCAGCACAGTGAAGCCAGCTGAAGGTGCCACCGATCCACACATCTCAGCCACATTGTCTGCCACACAATGCGAAATGCGTTCGCGAAATCATCTGAGCCACATTGCATCTGCCAAAAAGCAGCTTTTGTCTAACCAATTCAAATTCCAATAGTGTTTCTCTGCCTGCTTTTGCAGCAAAGCCAAGGAGAACGACGAACTGTCCAGTATATAGCCAAGTCAGCGTCTGGGCATTCGAACTTCGTCGTAGTCCACAAGTCCAGGAATGTTCAAGCAATTCCTGCAGCCCAATGCGAGACTTACCCTAACCGCTGTGAGAATACGAAAGTCAACAAGAACTTCAGGCCTCTACCGGCTGCTTTGTACCACATCCCCATTAAAAATGCCCTTGCCGCAAACACCTGCAGATTTACTGAAGCTGACGAAAGTAGCCCGAGAATTCCGGAACTTACCCCTGATGAAAGCGGCGTCTCTAGTTCTGACGGGGAAGGCACCGTGCAAAACCATTTGCTGCATGGAGTACTGCAAATCCTTTCCATACCTGCATTTGCTTAAGCCCCCAGGAAAATAGATTCCCTTTAAAACCAACAGGGGAAAACAATTCCTAAGCAAATGGAAGCTTACGTTCTGTCCACCGGAGACTCACACCTGTACCAAAGCCCACAGGCGTGACATGAATTCCCTAGCTTTGAACCGCTCATTCTCGGCGCAGAAAAAATAGTGTCGGAATGATCCACTGAACAGCAAGTATCCAGGCCACACACATCTTCGTTTGCCTCTGTTTGAAGCTAGCTCGTAGGATTGAACTCCCAGAACCAGATGGATTCATCAGGGTGCAACTGCGGAATCAACAAACAGCAATTTCTCATGCCGTGAGCGTAGCGTCAACGATTTCAAGGGATTCTCGGCCTGGCTTCGGCCTGGCGTGCCAAGTAGCCGAAACGGCGATCAATTGAACAGACTTGCAAAATTGTTTCTCTGGTTTCTGGCCCCTCGTGCCTCTCAAGCCGTGTCGATCCCCGTCCTGCTTTGCTCAATGTACTTGTCAGGCTGCATCACCCGACATTGACGACAGCGCGCTTTGTATCTTTCAGTCAAGCCTCAAAGCAAAGCAACGCAACGACTTGCCAAAGAAAACACCACACCAAAAGAGGGAGACCATCAAAGCAACATCGATTTGCAGATGTTCCGCCAAGAAAATCCTGCATGTCTTGCAGGTGACTAGGAGTCAGCTCAAATGTTTGAAGTGCCCTATCGGCACCACAAGTACCATCAAGTTGATAGCCCAGTTCAAGAGCCTCAGCAAAACACACAGGTGCATATCGTACATGTATACACATATATACATATGTATATGTATATATGTATATATATATCCGCCGACATTGCTCGGCGTGTCGGACACCTAAGAGAGGATAGAGGATAACCCCCCCCCTAACCCCCCCCCACCCGACGTCTGATACGTGGGGGGGGGCCCCCCCCCCCCAAGGACCGCGCGGCAATTTGATGACGTTCCACTAAACGTAGTCTTCGGGGACCCGGTGTCGCAAAACAAGGGTCCCAGGCTCGATTCCCCCTGCCGGCTTTTTTGCTGGCTTGGGCTTCCTGCATCCTTTTGCCGAAAATCTGGAAAAAACTCTGTGTTTTTGGACATCATCTTTGCGAAAACGCTGAACAACAGTGTTTTTTTGCGGGAAATACTGGGGAGCAAAGGGGAAGTGCAAGGATACATACATACATACAGACATACATACAGACAGACATACAAACATACATACATACATTACATTACACAACATCACATTACATTACTTTAAATTACATCGCATTACATACATACATACATACATACATACATACATACATACATACATACATTACATTACATTACATTACATTACTTCACATTACATTACATTACATTACATTACTTTACTTTACTTTACATTACATTACATACATACATTACATACATTACATACATTACATACATTACATACATTACATTACATTACATTGCATACATGCATACATGCATACATACATACATACATACATGCACATACATACATACATACATACATACATACATACATACATACATACATACATACATTACATACATACATACATACATACATACATACATTACATACATACATACATACATACATACATACATACATACATACATACATACATACATACATACATACATACATACATACATACATACATACATACATACATACATACATACATACATACATACATACATACATACATACATACATACATACATACATACATTACATTACATTACATACATTACATACATTACATTACATACATACATTACATACATACATACATACATACATTACATTACATTACATTACATTACATTACATTACATTACATTACATTACATTACATTACATTACATTACATTACATTACATTACATTACATTACATTACATTACATACATTACATTACATTACATTACATTACATTACATTACATTACATTACATTACATTACATTACATTACATTACATTACATTACATACATACATACATACATACATATGCATGCATGCATACATACATACACCTACCTACCATACATACATACATACATACATACATACATACATACATACATACATACATACATACATACATACATACATACATACATACATACATACATACATACATACATACATACATACATACATACATACATACATACATACATACATACATACATACATACATACATACATACATACATACATACATACATACATACATACATACATACATACATACATACATACATACATACATACATACATACGAGAGAGGGAGATTGGGGAGAGAGTGACTTGGGGGGATGGGGAGGATGGGGAGCGGAGGGAGGGAGAGAGGACGACAGAACACACCAGGGAGACAAGGGAGAGAGGAAGAGGGAGAAAAGGGAGAGGACAATGTCGGCGGACTGAGCCGGAGGCTCTAAAGTATATATATCTTGTAACCCTTTCCATGGACCCTGGCTTGGTGCGTTTGACGTGTATTTTCCAGTGTGTTATGCTTCTTTCTGCTTCTTGGAGTTGTGTCAAAATTGGGGGGGGGGGGTCATACATGTATATGATGCGCATGCATGCATACAGATGTGATAAAAGGAATGACATCAGCATCTGCAATCTGAAAGAGTTTGAACGTATCCAAGAATACAAGAACAACGGCGATGGGATTCACTCCTTTTTGGGGGACAGGGGCACAAATTACAGATGGAGCATGGATGGATCATGGAGCATGGATGGATCATGGATCAGGGATGGACCAGGGATGGATGAATAGGTTCTAGGGTATTTGTTAAGTGTTCTCCTGTAAATGATGGATGACTCACATATCTGTTTTTAAAACGAAAAATGGAAAAATCCGCCGACCCCTTCTCCTCAAAGGGGGAGGCGCACGGGAAGGGTAGTTACAGCACAAGTCCAAGGTTGGTTGGTAAATGAGCATAGCCGAAGAGTCAACATTAGCAGCGTCATCGTAGCATCCTTTCCACCTCAAAGACGTGTCTTTTTCGTCATCATGATCATTGTGGTCGTCATCCGTGTCTTTTTCATTTGTGCTTCAAGTGTTGCGTTGGAGCCAGACATTCTGCCCGCGAGGAGGGACTTGCATTCGCAGTGATGATGATTACCATCATGGTGATGATGACATGCTCATCATCATCACATCATCATCGTTGTGACATGATTGGAGATGCAGAGGATGCGTAGACATGATTATCATCACGATTGTTGGTGATGCAGAGGATGCACGATGATGGTTATCATCGATGATGATAACGGTGATGATGATGATGACAATGACGAGGATGATGCTGATGATGATGACGATGATGATGATGCTGATGATGATGACGATGATGATGATGATGATGACGATAAACATGCCCATCGTCATCACATCATCGTTGTGACCTGATTGGAGATGTAAAGGATGCGTCGACATGACTATCATGATGACTGCTGGTGATGCAGAGGGTGCACGATGATGGTTATCATCCATGATGACAACGACGATGATGATGATGATGATGATGACACGCTTGTCATTATATCACATCATAGTCGTTGTCGTCCTTTTTTTTTATATACGTTTCAAAGGTGGAGTTAGAGCCGATTGGAGACGCATGATTATCATCATGACTGTTGGTGGTGCAGAGGATGCACGATGATGGTTATCGTCCATGATGACAACGGTGATGATGACGGTGATGACGATGATGATGATGATGGTGACGATAATGACCACCATCACGGTGATGATGACATGCTCATCATCATCACATCATCGTTGTGACCTGATTGGAGATGTAGAGGATGCGTAGACATGATTTCCTCCTGACTGTTGGTGATGCAGAGGATGCACGACGATGGTTACCATCGATGATGACAACGGTGATGATGACGATGACGATGACGAGGATGATGCTGATGATGAAGACGATGATGATGATGACACGCTTGTCATTATATCACATCATAATCGTTGTCGTCCCTATCTTTTTTATATACGTTTCAAAGGTGGCGTTAGAGCCGATTGGAGATGCAGCGGGTGCGTAGTCATGATTATCATCATGACTGTTGGTGATGCAGAGGATGCACGATGATGGTTATCCAACGGTGATGATGACGGTGATGACGATGATGATGATGATGATGACGATGATGATGATGATGACATGCTCATCATCATCACTGTGACCTGATTGGAGATGCAGAGGATGCGTAGACATGATTTCCTCCTGACTGTTGATGATGGTTACCATCGATGATGACAACGGTGATGATGACGATGACGATGATGATGATGATGATGACACGCTTGTCATTATATCACATCATAATTGTTGTCGTCCTTGTCTTTTTTCTTATATACGTTTCAAAGGTGGCGTTAGAGCCGATTGGAGACGCAGCGGGTGCGTAGTCATGATTATCATCATGACTGTTGGTGATGCAGAGGATGCACGATGACGGTTATCGTCCATGATGACAACGGTGATGATGACGATGATGATGATGACGATAATGACCACCATCTCATCATCATCACATCATCGTTGTGACCTGATTGGAGATGCAGAGGATGCGTAGACATGATTTCCTCCTGCTGTTGGTGATGCAGAGGATGCAAGATGCTGGTTATAATCGATGATGACAACGGTGATGATGACGATGACGATGACGAGGAGATGACGATGATGATGATGATGATACGCTTGTCATTATATCACATCGTAATCGTTGTCGTCCTTATCTTTTTTATATACGTTTCAAAGGTAGCGTTAGAGCCGATTGATCGTTGTGACCTGATTGGAGATGTAGAGGATGCATGATTATCATCATGACTGCTGGTGATGCAGAGGATGCACGATGATGGTTATCGTCGATGATGACAACGGTGATGATGACGATGACGATGATGACACGCTTTGTCGTCCTTATCCTTTTTATACACGTTTCAAAGGTAGCGTTAGAGCCGATTGATCGTTGTGACCTGATTGGAGATGTAGAGGATGCATAGACATGATTATCATCATGACTGTTGGTGATGCAGAGGATGCACGATGATGGCTATCGTCCATGATGACAACGGGGATGATGACGGTGATGACGATGATGATGATGATGACGATAATGACCACCATCTCATCATCATCACATCATCGTTGTGACCTGATTGGAGATGCAGAGGATGCGTAGACATGATTTCCTCCTGCTGTTGGTGATGCAGAGGATGCAAGATGATGGTTATAATCGATGATGACAACGGTGATGATGACGATGACGATGACGAGGAGATGACGATGATGATGATGATACGCTTGTCATTATATCACATCATAATCGTTGTCGTCCTTATCTTTTTTACATACGTTTCAAAGGTAGCGTTAGAGCCGATTGGAGATGCAGCGGGTGCGTAGTCATGATTATCATCACGACTGTTGGTGATGCAGAGGATGCACGATGATGGTTATCGTCCATGATGACAACGGTGATGATGATGATGACAATGAC